CAAAGGCACTATGGTATAATGCATTTACACTATGATAAATAGCTTTTGTTTCAACTTGTGAATTGCTCTGCTTTTTTTCTTAATGTGTAGCAGTGTTGATTCATTCAAGGCTGATTTACATCCATTAAAAAATGGGGTTTAAGGGGCAGCTAGGTGACACAGTGGATAGAGCACTGGCCTTGGAGTCAGGAGGACCTGAGTTCAAATCCAGCCTCAGACTAAACACTTGACACTTACTAGCTGTGTGACCTTGGGCAAGTCACTTAACCCCAATTGCCTAAAAAAAAATTAAAAATGGGGTTTATATATTCTTTTAAGTATCTTAATGTCTTACATGAATAATGCTAAAAGCTTCAGAAGAAAGTGATTAAAGTTTGTGACATTTGGTCTCAAACTAATTCAACTTATCTTGTTGGTATTAGATTAAGTTGTTGACTAAAAAGAACCTTCTACTCTTTGTAGAAGGAAATTGAGGAAAGGGTCAGTGAATCATTCAACAAATATTTTAAAGCACCCCCAGTGAGCCAAACTTTGTTGTAAACTCTTGGAGTACTTAGAAACAAATCAGATCATCACATTGCTCATAGTATACTATAAGTTTTAACAAGCTGAAATAAAGACTGGAATCTTAAACTGCGCTTTGAATTGGAAGGCAGCATTGGTAGAGATTATCAATGTCCTTTAAGAAGATGGTACCCACCAAACTACTACAAACAGATTATTCTTTTACAACTTCTGCAGACTTGGTTTTGCCTAAAGAAAGCCAAAATCTATAAAATGTATAATGGAACAGTCTGTGTTCTGACTGAATTATTGGGTCAATTTACTAAAGCTTTATAACTTTATAAATATTTATAACTGGTTGAACTTCCATCTGGTCTTCTTGACTGCTATTGTTTTATTCACAACATCACCTCAACTATATGGCATAATGTGTTAAGAAACGACCTTGGAGCCAGCAAGACATACTGGCCATGACCCTAGGTAATTCACTTAATAGCTTGGTGCTCTGAGCAACTCTTTGAAGAGAAGGCTCCAATCTAGGGAGATTCCTTATGTTTGTCTTGCCTGTATCCTTGAAATGACAGGTCCAGGTCCTACCTATCCCAGTTTATAATGGTTTTGTTAACCTGGAAAGATTTGTATGGTCTGATGCTAAGGGAAGTGAGCAGAACCAAGAGAATGTTGTATATAATAACAGCCATGTTGTATGATGATTAATTTTGATAAACTTAACCCCTCCCAGCAATACAAGGATCTAAGACATCTCCAAAGGCCTAGTGATGGAAAATTCTATCCACATCCAAAGAAAGAACTATGGAATTTGAATTGCTATTTTTTTCTCTTCAGTTGAGTTTTGTTTCCTCTTTCTGGTGGTTCCTCCTATTGGTTCTAATTTTTACTTACAACATCACTAATGTGAAAATATGTTTAATAGGAATGTATATGTATAGCCTAGATCAGATTGTGTGCTGTCTTGTGGAGGGAAGTGGACAAAAATTTAAAACTCAAAAGCTTATGGAAGTGATTGTTGATAAATCAAAATAAATTAATAAAAAATTTAAAAATTAATGCCTTTGTTTAGCTTTGGCAGAAAACATTGAGCAACAAGAATTTGCTGAGCATCTGTATATGCTGAGTATTGTGCTTGGGGCTCTGAGAAATATAAAAGGATCACATAAGGCCACTCTATTCCTCCCATCCCCTTCCTCTGCTTACCTAAGAGTAAATAATGGTAGGAAATGCCAATTGGAGTTCTGTATTTCAAGGTGTCCTTGAACTGAGAAGCAATGTAGAATAGTGGAAATAATGGTAAATTTTGGATTCAAAGGGTCTACATTTGAAACCTGTCTCTTTTTACATGTGAAGCCCTGTCACTTGCTTTTTTTGTGACAACCTATTTTCTCCTCAGTTTCCTCATCTATGAAACAGAAGAGTTATAACAGAGGATCCCTAAGGCCATTCTCAGATTATAGATTTTGTATCTGTGATTTGATGATTTTATCTGCCAGCTTTGATAAAAGAAGTGTGTAGGCATCAGCAACCTGATTCTCTGTAGGTAGTATTACTGCCAGCCTTTTTGTGTTCAGGCAATGCAATATGGTGCAATACTTTTCAAAGAGGTCCTAGAGATTTCCTAATCACTATTCTTTCAATTTATAGTACATGACTTTATAGTTCCTTTTATAAACACCTTAAGTATCATAAGACTATAGTACTGGCCTTTTTAGGCCAGTTTTTCAGACCTCATGTTTTTGATGTAGGATTTAGAATAGACATTTTGTACCTAAATAACTATCTGAATGCAATAAAGGAAAATTTAAAACAAGGCCTATCACTTCAGAGTATCATCATGCCAAGAGAGACTCAAAATCCATGTCATCGTACTTGAATGATCTCCAAATTCCACAAATGTAAAAATAAATGAATGAAAAACATCTATGTAACCCTATGTTCCAAGAACTGATCTAAATGCTGAAATAAAAAATGAAGACAGTCCTTGCCCTCAAAGACCTTACCTTCTAGTTGGGAAAGAGAGTGAATAGAGAGAAACATTAATCTGGGAAAGATGTTTTGGTCTGGGAAGTTGCAAAGATGGTGAGTGAAACAATAGGGCAATCAGTCCATTGATATTGAGATACATGAAATGAAAAAGGAAATGTGTTCCCCAAAGTCAGGGACATTCCCCATCCTGGGACAGTAGAATAAATCAAAGTCAACTGAATATGGTCTTTCCCTCAACAATTCCTAAAGCTTTCAAATCCTAAATCTTTCTTCTATAATAGTCTCCTCAAGGCAATTAAGCTATTTTCTTAGTCCCTTTTCATAGAGAACAACAACAACAATAATAAAATTAAAAAAACAACAACATTCATATAGCTCTTTAAGGTTTACAAAGAGCTTTCCACTTGTGATCTCATTTTATTCTCATAACAGCTTTGGGAGGTAGGAGCAATTAACATTCTCATTTCACAGATTCAGGTACTGAGGCTAATAAAGGTAAGTGACCTGCCCAGGGTCACATAGTTAAATTAGTGTCTAATGTAGAATTTGAACTCAGGACTTATTGATTCCAAATATGCATTTTATCCACTGCACCATTTGCTTGAGGGTCTATTTGATTCTTAATTTTGATATCGTTTCCCCAAATATACAAGTGGCTGAGATATCACTAAATATGAGAGAAATAAGAATTATGTTATTATTTCATTATCTTAAAACAAAATGAGAGGGATCATGATGTACTGGAAAGGACACTGCATTGAGTCATAAATATTGTGTTCAAGTCCCATACTTTATTGCTGTGTGAACTTGAGCAATGCAATTTAGTTGATCTATTTGGGCATCATTTTCTCTATCTGTAAAACTAGAATAAAATATTATCATAATACACTTCACAGAGTTATTGTAGAGAAATAAAAATTAAGCAATGCATGTGAAACATGATTATATGTAATTAGTCTGATAATAAAATGTTTTATGTAATGTATAATCTTTTCAGTTGAACCTGTTCTCAAGAATTCCCTATCTTCATTCAAATGTAAGTTATTGGCATGCTGTCTAGAGAAAGGAAAAGGTAGGACAGTTCAGTGAAAGAGTGTTGGATATGGAGACAGAGGACCTGGTTCAAATCCTGACTCTTCTATTACTAACTGTATGACTTTAGGCAAGTCACTTAATCTTTCAAGCTCTTTGTTTCTTCATCTTCAAAATGAATAGTTTGGACTAGATGACCCCTAATCTTTGAAGTCAATGAAGTTCCACTATTGCCCTAACACATTCTAAACATTCTACCCTTAAAAAAACAATTAAATAGAATAATTAAATGGATTAATTTGTCCTCCCTTTGTAGAAGCATCTTATTTCTGCAGATACTTGTTGGCTGAGTTGGAATCATTTTCATTTTGGTACCTTTCCTATTAAATCTTCAAAAAGACAGTAACCCAAACTGGTATGACCACAGATTATCCTTTCCTAGAAATCACAGGAGAGTTTATTTGGACTGAAACTTAAGTGACCTTAAGAAACTTAAATGAACAGAGAGACTCTTTACATTTGAAAGGTGACCTTATTTTTTTTTTCCCTCACTGACCTCTTCAGTTGACCAAGTATAAAAGTTTATCTGAAATTACATAGATGAAGACCAGGACTGAAAGACTTCCAAATGATTAGGTTAAGAATGTATATCATTATCATTGCCCCAACACTTGCTTCTGGGCACCAGGTTGGTGGTCTTCAGTGCCCAAAGGCTGACTCCCTGCTGCTTTCATTTAAGATGATGTTAAACATTGTTTTGAAGCATTATTCATTCAAACCCAAAAAAAGAAATCTGAGTATCCTTTTAAAAACAACTTGAATTTTTTACTTGCTAGGTAAAATATTTAAACATAGATAGCCTATTTTTAACGGGAGAGTACAAAAGTATTTATTCACTGCAGGTTGGAACAATCTACACTGAGCTGTTATCTGAACGACAAAGCATTAAGCCATAATGAGGAAATAACGGGCACAGTCTGTTAGCAGAGCAAGAGAATCTCTCCAGAAAGAGCTTTGGCCAAGAAAGGCAAGGCAAGCACACTGGAGTCTGCTGAAACGTAATGTTATTAAGGAAACTTTTCAAATTAAGACTGTAACTGAGAGAGAAATGAAATCATTATGAAGACAACACTTGCAAATGTTTCATGTGCAGGCACTGTGTTTTTCATAGCTCTTTCTTTGACAAGTTCAAGAAGCTTACCGAAAATCCTCTATCCCTTTATCTTCTGAGGCATTAACATTAATTGTCAACAGTCACAGAATATCCCAGTAATATCTGCACTTGTAATTCTATGGTATCATTACCAGCTAAGAACCACTCTGTACATTCACTTCTCTTCCCCATTTAAAAACACCAAACATCACCTTGGCTTGATGTTTTGGTCCTCCTTAGTCTGATAATTAAAACTGGGCATCCCTACTAAGAACCCTCTCCCTACAGCCACGAAGAGAAACCCTCTTACCATGTATTCCATGTTGGCAGCAGGTGGAAACACCTTGCCCCGAACTTGATTGTGATAATCGAGTATGGCAATCATGTCATTCTGCGAGATGTAGCGCTTCCTCCTGACTTTGGGGAGATCCGCTGAATCCAGATGTGCTTTTAGAGCGGCTTCAATATCAGTGAAGTTATTGGTTGGCGAGGATGAGTCAGTGGCGTTGAGTAAGACGACTGCACTTGTTTCATAGAGAAGGGAGAACAAGAGGATACCACTGACAGCAGAGATTGCTATCATCTTGGGATGGAGGAGGGGAGAAGCCACAGGGTTTACTCTGCTTTGAAACAGGAAGGCAGAGTTAGGGTCAATCTATGAGAGGGCAAATTAAAAAAGAAATGTGCCAGAGTGTATGATTTTACACACAAATGTCTCCTCTGAGAGCTTTCCTTGGCTTGATTATATTCTGTAATCCAAAAGACTTTTTTTCAAATCAATGTTATGAGAAAGCCTGTAATTACTGCCCATGTTGCTTTAATGGATGAAGAAGAAACCTAAGATGAACTTCCCAGAGATGGAGATGAATAAAACAGCATATCACGAGCCCTCAGCCCTCAGATGTCTTATTAATCATTTGCCCACAAAGTCTTAACATATACACACTGTAGGGTACCAAATGCCCAAGTGGGCATTTGGTTGTAAGTGGGCAATCTGTAAGGAACTCAACTTCATCCAGATATTGAAAAGAAATACATCTCAGGAAACAGCTTCTGCTACCTGCAGTAAAGGTATGGATGCTGTGTCACAGACACATGCGCAGAGAGTGACAAAATATATACAAAAGTTATAATTCTATCTCAATTTCATTCAAGAAAAACAAATGTGAGCTATTTTAGTATAAATGCATGCAAAACCGACTCATTCAGCTAAATGGCTTACCTCTGAGCAATGCCAAAATGAGTATATTGTCCTTCCAATTTTTTAAAAAGTTCTTTGCTATGTTGTGGCATAAACCCTTGTAAGGAGGAGTGTGTCTTATTACAAACCGTCTAAGAGCAAAAACTCTTGCTAGTTTTGACGCGGCTGGCCCCAGGAGCTGCTAACAGCTTTTATATGTCACAGGCTGCATAGTACAGAAAGGGCAGGCTTTCGAAGGGTCTCTCCCGAGCCAAACTGAAAGAGGAGGGGCTTTTGGAAAGAAAACACAGTGATTGGGTGGCGATCTTTTTTATGTGGGTGGTGAGGAAATGAAGTCACACCCACAGCTTGCAAAGTGCAAACTCTAAAAGACGAGCCCCTTTTCTGACCGGGCTTCCCACCTTTTCTGTGACTGGTTCATTTGATACTGGTTCCCGAGCAAAAAGGGGACGGCTCTTGAAAGTGGGTAGTCAGTTCTTGAGGGAAAAACGCAGCTGCTTGGGTAGCAAGCAGGATGTTTTACATAGGCAATGAATGACTTGAGAGCTGAATCAGGGAAATCAAGCAAATGATATGTCTAGGTGTATTGAGAGGCGAGGAAAGAATATTTAAAAAAAAAAAAAAGACGAGGGGCATCAGTGGTAGATAAGCAGTTAAGTTAGGACATGAATGCAAGAGATGCTTAAGTGACTGTTTTTGGTCTCCTGTTGACTTTGTTCCTTTCCTATGCGCTCTCTCTCTCTCTCTCTCTCTCTCTGTCTCTCTCTCTCTGTCTCTCTCTCTCTCTCTCTCTCTTTCTCTCTCTATCCATCTGTCTCCCTCCCTCCATCCCTCCTTCCTATCCTTCCTCTATCTGCTTACCTGTCCTTCAGTCTACCTGTGTGTCTGTCTGTGTTTCTGTCTTTTCCTCTGTCTCTATCTCTCTCATCTATGTTCCTGTCTCTTTCCCATACACACTTTTTCTTTAACCTCCTCCTTACTTCCCCTCCCCAACACACACACCTTCCCACCAAACAAGCAATACCTCTCTTCCACCCTCCCTACACACATCTCTGGGTAAAGAAAGGATGCATGAATCAGAATGTAGCATTACTGTCCAGTACCTGAAAAATTTTAAGACACTCAAGAATCAGCATGATAGAATGAAGAACAGCCAGTCAAACATCTGTTTCGGGTTTAGAAGCCTATAGCTGAAATGATTTCAAGCAGAGAATGTCTCAGTCACTGGAGCAGCAGAGTGGAGGGCACAGTACAGAGGCCAGGAGGAATCCAACAGCAGAAGCTGGTGCCAGCAGCCAGAAGTCCCATATTAGGAGGATGCACACTGGAATTTATACAGGGTCAGGCTGGGCTAGAGTCAGCAATAGGAATTCTGGGGCAATCTGTAAGGAGTAGGTCTTCAAAAACACAGCTGATGAATTTTGTGATGTCACCAACAAAATATAGACTTGCAGTGGCTAGAAAAAGGAATCCAGGATAAGGGTACTATTTACAACTTTATAAATTGACTTAAGATACACTACCGTATATCCAGTTTGCTGATGCAATGGTCTTCACTGTTTTCCAACTGGAGAATATTTGAATATATGTTCATAAGGAACAATGACCATACTGTTAGAGGGAAGGTGGAATAGGAGTCAATTTCCAAGTGTACTACAATTCTTATCTTTGACTAAAGCCACACCCTCTCAATTCATCACTACTACCTGGGAAGGAAAAAAAAATAGTGTATACACAGTGTCTGCACATAAATACTTTTTAATAGCATATCATTGCTTAATTGATAAAAACACAAGTAAAATAATTTAAATCAAAGGTAGTAAATATTTTAAAAATCTTTTGTAGGGCTACATTATTGAGGAAAATGTGAACAAAGTCATTTCTCCTATTTTTAAGCTAATTCTAATGCCCTCCTCTTCAGCATCATTGTGTCTAGGAGGAGGCCCTAGGTTTTCTAGGCTTTGCCAGTGGAATAAGACCTCTGGTAGGACCTACCTATGCTTGGCTGTTGAGTCAGAAAGAGGTTCAGCAGATCCTGCACAGGACTAGGGAAGAGGCAGGGAATGAAGGCTGTGGAGAATTAGGTGCAGCCTAATCTAGTTAGGACTCCTCTAATGCCTTTTCTAACATTGAACCTTGTTCTTGTTTTGGCCCCTTGGATATAAGCATTCCAAAAATACCTTGCTACCTACCTGGCCTGGATTTTTTACTTATGCCTGTTCTCAAAACTTGGATCTGACTTTCTCAGTACCAGGTGGAATTTTCTTCTTCACCCCTCAGGAATTTGCCTAATCACAGGCACATATTTGCCCCAACTCCCATAAGATGCTAAGTTACCAAGCTGGAAAGACTTTGAATATGGGCCTAGCAACAACCTTTATGCTTGAGTCTAGCTAAGTTAGGAGAGGTTCATCACTAGAAAGATGACCATCAGCTAATAAATAATGATGATGGTAATAATAATAATAATAAATTCACATAATGATTAAAAATTTTAAAAGATATACATATAAATTATCTCCTATGATCCTGATAACAGCCCTAAGAGATAGGTACAATTATTATCCCCTTTTTACAGATGATGAAACTGAGGGAAAGAGAGGTTAAGTGACTTGTTCTGGGTCATAGACATAGTGTCTGATGCAGGATTTGAACTCAAGTCTTCCTGCTTCCAAATCCTGAACTCTATACTCCGTGTCATCTAGATGCTGAAGCTCAGAGCTCTCTGGGATCTCATGACTAATATGTGTCTTAGTTGTTACTCAATCCCAGGTGTTCCTGACTCCAGATCTAGCACTCTATATTTTATGTCATTTGCATCAGCAGAGTGAATAACCATATCAAATGAGACCACAAAGTTAGCAGCATGGCACAGTGGAAAGAATATTGGCTCTGAAGTCAGAAGACTTGGGTTCAAATCCCACCTCCAATGCTTACTACCTATGTGACTGACAATCAATCAATCAACATTTTTCAGTCACTTACTATGCGCCAGATATTATGCTGGATAGCACTAAGTACTGGACAAGTCATTTAATCCCCCTTGGACTTCACTTTCCACATCTCTAAAAAGTAGAGGTTGAAGGAGATGACCTCTGGGGTCTTTGAGGCAGCTAGGTTGCACACTGGACAGAGTACTAGACCTTGTCAGGGAGACCTCAGTTCAAATCCAGCTTTAAATACTTATTAGATAGTTTCATTGAACAGGGTAAGTCATATAACCTCTGTCTTCCTCAGTTTCCTCCTCTGCAAAATTATGATAATAATAGCACATACTTCCTAGGGCTATTGTGAGAATCAAATGAGATAGTATTAGTAAAGCACTTAGCACAGAGCTCTATGAATACTAGCTATTATGTTCTATACTTCCCCAGAGCCCAGCACATAAAGAAGGTTCTTTAAAAATGATCATTGAATTGAATTAAATTAAATGAAAAGAGCTCATAAATATAATACAATAAGCTAATAACCAGGGCCTTTGCCTCCTGGGTCTATGCTATACTATCCAAGCACACATGCAAACTACTCTGGGCTATTCCATTCAACCTCCAGGATATCATGGTCAGGTCTCCCAAGAATCAACCAGCCCTGTTTCCACACTCTGTCTCTATTAATCATATTAAATATGGCAGCTCTGGGCTTAAATGTTGAAGCCATTTGGTGGCTTTGTGGTAACTACTTTAAGATATTCTTTGTATCTGTGCTTCCATACAATTCTCTTTACCCACTACATGGTTGCACTTTCCCTACCCTGATGGACTTTCAAATTCAGTAGGGAAAGTAAAACCTCAGTGCCCAAATAAGTGCTCTGAGATAGGGACAAAGAAAACAGAGATAGAAGCACAAGATAGGAAGAGGTGACTTCTTGTGGGGCAGAATCAGGAAAGTTTTCAGAAAAGAGGTTGCTTTCAAGCTGGGGATTAAAGGATGAATAGAATTTCAACAAATGCAGATGAGCTGGGGGTGAGAGGAGAAATGACAGGAGTTAGAAGCCAATTCTTCAGCTTCTTCTACTTGGGCTGGCAACAGGCAGAGATCTGCACATGCTTCAGGAACGAACTGCTGTTGGTCAGTTTCACTGTTACAAATGCATATAAAGTACTTTACAAGTTTTAAAGAGCTTTACAAATGTAAGTTGTTAATATACCCCTACCAAAGTAATTATTCATTTTGCTTTGGGCATAAATGTCATTTGTAAATACTATATTGCAATGTATAAGGTTGGGGATTGAGCTATTAAAGAGCAAACAAATAACGAGGAGATTCTCCCTAAGACTTCCTCTTGAAAAGATCCTTCAGTGTGGGGATTAGAGACAGAAGAACTGAGATCCAATGCCAGTTTGCTGAAATAGTTCACCAGAAAAGGCAAAAATTCAGTTATTATATTATGCAGAAGAGATCTAGATATAAGTTGCAGAGAACTATTGTCTATCTTGACATCTGTGAGAGATTCTTTTTAATATGAAAATTAGGTGGTTTTAATAAGGTTAGGTACTGGAAAAACAGATCTGTTTAAACAGAGATATATTCTTTTATGGCATTATTCCAACTCACCTGAGTATCACAAGCATTTATTTGAAGCAGGAAGTCCATTACCAGAACATACTAAAATCTCAGAATAATAGAGATGGGAAACCCTTTAGAGGTTACCCAGTCCAACCCACTCATTTGCTGAAAATAGCAAAGTTAAGTAACTTGCCAAAGTCACATAGTTCATTAGAGGCAAACCTGGGAAGCTGCCAATCTGACTTACCAAACTACCAGGTAAAACATGTAGTTCCAATTGACATCTACTAATGGAAAACAAAATCCAGAGTTATTGGACCCTTTGGAAAAGGTGCAAAGAGCAACAATTCAGGTGATGTCAAGTGGACTTTAAGGAAGAAAATCAAAGGTGTTCCAGGTTGGCATATAAATTATAGTTAGCAGCAATATAAGTAGACCTTTCTACATTCAGTTTTTGGTTTTATTGTTATAAAAAAGCAAAGTTCATTCCTAACTTCTTAAAATTTAAATTCTAAGCAATTGCAAAATCATCTTTTCTTATATTGTTGTGGAATGGGGGTGGTGGGAAGAAAAAGCAAAGGGAAACTAACCAAACTCTTAGAATATTCAAAATAAGGGATTCGTATGAATGTTTTGGATATTACCAGAGGAATATACACTATTCTTTCTTCTTCCCAAAGAAAT